AAGCCCAGACATTTGTTTGTGTTTCAGTATATTAAAAAAAATGATATCCAACTTGTAGTAAGCAAACTTAATATGGAAGGAAGTAAGCTATAGGGAAGATACACACAGCAATATATTTCTGCAAATTATGAAATTAAACTGTTCAAGCATTGTGGAAGAGCTTCACATTTACACAATAATTGCAACACAGGATCTTCTGCAGCATAATTTCTCTGGTTCATACAGTAAGGTGGTGTACGACCATTCAGCTGTTTCCAGTAGAATAAAGATAATTATCTAAAGCAACAAGAAATGTAATAGATAACATTTCAGGCTTATCTTCATTATAATTGATTCCAGTTCACATCAGATATCTGTACCATAGTGGATTATGCTGCATTTTCCAATAGTGGATTATCCTAGTGGGCCACTAGAAAAACACAGTCCTATACAGTAGGATGTTTACTCAGAAGCAAGTCATTAGGTTCAGTGGGTCTTCCGTATGCTGAATCACAGCCTAGGTACAGCATATCTCAGTGTTATGGCTGGACTTTGCAAAATCAACCATTAGATTTCAGATGATGGATTATAAATAGAGATGGGGACGAATATAAAAATTTGGTTTTTCCGATGAATGTAGCTGATTCATTAAATATTCATTGATCTGTATTTGTGGGTTCCAGAGACCCCGATGAATACAAAGAGACGAATATTTACTTGTTTTTATTCGTCCTTCGTATCAAAAAACAAACAAACAAAACCATTCTGCCTAAATAAACAAACAAACAAACAAACAAACAAGCAAGCAAGCAAGCAAGCAAGCAAGCAAGCAAGCAAGCAAGCAACCTTTGCAATGATGGCAGCTGCAGCTTCATTTAGGGTTGGGAAACTGCAGCCGCCATCTTTGCAAAAGGCAGCCAGTCTCCCTTTTTCCACACTGTGGCTGCGGAGGCCTGATGGAAACCTTGGTAGCAGCTATTAAGGTAAGGGGGTATTGGTGGGAGTGGGGTGGGGGCTAAGGTAGGGAAAGGAAGGGGGTGTGGGTGTATGCTGTTAGGATGGTTGGCTGTGGGTGGGTGGGTGGCTGCCTATCGGCTTCTTTTTTTACTTTTTTTATTATATAAATCCATCCATATTGATTTAACATCGTGTCACCAGGGTACAGCTTATAATCATTTGTAAAACAACTACTACACACATTACACTCCTAATCTATACAACATCCTTTTAACCATTGATAGAATAAGTCCCATGTTTGATAATATTTTGTATCTTCTTTTCCTTTGATTTTCAGTGTTAGTCTGTCCATTTCGACGCAGTCCAATATCTTTTTAATTATTTCCTGATCAGCAGCTTGTAGGCAGAATTGGCTTCCATGCCATGTGGTAAAGTCTCCTGGGGGGACCCAATTTGTGGGTGAATAACTCGGATGTCTGATATCCAATCTTCACCAAAGTTGGAGAAAGACACAGGAAGCTCCATTGTGATTCTGGATTCTCTAAGTACCTGGAGGGAGCTTTCCTGGGGGGGGGGGCATTTGTGACTATGTAACTCGGGGGTCTATGATCCAGTGTTCACCAAAACTTTCAGGAGTTGTAGAAAAGTGTCTGAGGGAGCTTCCCTGCTTTGTGTCTCTAGGTTGTTGGGGGCCAATGTTATAGCTATTAAAAGTGCAGATGAATCAATGGATCAATCCGTTGATTCGCCAAAGAATATTCGTATTCGTTGATCTGTTAATGTTGACGAATAATGGATCGAAACAAATGGCCATTTTTAAATTTGTCCCCATCTCTAATTATAAAGGTAAAATTAGATAAGTGATTACTAATGTGCTACTTCAATTTTTTTTTAAAGATTATCACCATGGAACTGGTAGTTAGAAATTGCCTGCCATTGAAAAGATCAGTTCTGGTAGATTTAATTGGATGGATGTGGACACTTAACTGTTACAGCATAGGTCCTTTGAATGCACAGATTAAACACCTCTCATCCTAGTAGCATAAATGAAAGGTTAGCATTGAGATATATTTTATGAGTACAGTACGTCACCTCATATTCTCCTTTGTGTGATTTGGATGTTTCAGAAACTTCGGGATTGTTATTCCTGCTATGAATGAAAAATAGGTACAAAACCTTTCGCCTGTGGTTTTTCACCATTAGAATGTGGCTTCCAAACAGAGGAGTTTTCTTTTCATCTGACAGTCGTGTTTCAAATGTGTGCGAAATGCAGGGTTCCTCATTATTTGTTGCATTCAAAAAATGTGGCAGCATTTTCCCCCATTCTCATTTGTAGCTGACTTTACCATATATTTAAGAGAATTCTGTTTGTTCGGGTGTAGCTCTGAGAAGGTGATATGTATAACATGTTTCAGTGGCTCATTACTGTTTGAACTTTTGAAAGCTTAACAGCAGTATAAAAAAAAAAACAGCTTTAATAGCAGGCTTTTATCAGGAACACCACTACTAGTAAATTTTCCCATTGTAGAACAAGCCAAATGCTCAGAGTGGAGATTAAGGATCAAGAGCTTCATTCCAATGCTGTCAGCAATTAGCAAGAGTTTGGCACAGACTCACTGGTGTCTCATATCTTGGCGATACTTGCTTTCTTATTTCTTATAGAGTTGGTCTCCAATAGAATTAGGACATTAGGTTGGATCTACAGAAGTCTTTTATCTAAAAGAAGGACAGAAGGGAAGCGGGAGAATTTCTGCCAGTTCTCCCTCTGTCTGTAGCTCATTAGAACTTACTGAAATCTTTTTTTTGGAAGTTCTTCCACCTCTCTGTAGCAGATTTTCAGGTGACACAAGGGTCTACAGGTAAAGAGGGCAAAATGTCAAAAGAGTAATCAGTCCACTTTCACTAGCAGGAGCCAAGTCTGGAGCCAAGTCGTTATCTTGCACTGTGATTGCCAACAGTTCTCACAGCTGCTATTCCCCTAGTCAAAGCTTGGTTTACAGAGCCCTGCCCTTTGTCCATTTGCAGCTACTAGGCAGGCTAACACCTATCCTCTTGTGAAGTCCATGCATGTTTGCCGATCGCCTTGCTGAACAATCCAAGAAGGCAGACATTTTTTGGAGTTGTTACTGAGTGGTACAGAAGCAACTGCTGGGGTTAGAAGAATATCTGAAAGGGGACTCGGGTTTTATACACTGATTGTAGTGGAAAAGGTAGTGGAAAGATTAGGAGCGCAAAGCACAAGAAAGCTGCAATTCATCATTCTAGATGAAGAAAACTGACAGCTAGACTAATGCAAGAAAAGCATAAACCAAAGACAATAACTGAAACTTAAATTCGCCCAGTAGTCATATGCAGTTCATAAATGGGATCATATCATTTGTATGATTCCTGGACATAATTCCAGAGACTAAACAGTTAGACCAGTTCACTAACCCAATTTTAAAAAGAAACAGAAAAATACAATTTCTAATGGATAGCTCTTAACACCATGTATGGGGAGAACAGTCACTAAATTTGCATTAAGTCGCAAGCTCCCCACCTGCTGAATTCTTCATGAAGTACTGTATGGAAGTTAATTATTCTGTAGTAAAACTATTTCTAAAAAGTGTGTTTATTAGGATACCCTGCTTGGGTCATTATGATGTGAAGGAATACTCTCCCCACAGCAAGTCTCTTTATTGTTGCGCCCAGCGCAGCTTCTCATCACAGGTGCTGCCAGCTTGGTAAAAATTCCTCTGTTACGCTTCTATTTTCTTTCTATAAAACACCGCTTATCTACTGATACAGACATGTTCTACGGATTAGGGAGGAGACAATGAAATTACTGTGCATCACCACAGGCATGCTGTTTCAGAGACAAATGACTGTATCCACCCTTAAGCTTCAGTTCTCACATTTTGGTCGGACGGACACCATTTTTCAGATACCTTGAATTCCTTTACACAGGGAAAAACAAAAACAAGTACAAGCAAATGGGCAGTTCTGTGAGAACCATTGTTCTGCATATGTTCAGTTTTGTTCCCAGCACAGAAAAAACAGGGAGGTTAAAGGTCGGTTCAGACGGATCTTTGAAAAATAAGGAAATTGGTCTACTTTAAATTAACCATGAAGCTTACCCTCTTACTTCCAGGTTGGCCCTAAAGCTGATAGACTAAGAAAGAGGAGTAGGGAAGTTTAGAGTTTGATAACTGTATTATTTATGCCTCAAGCCCAAAGCCAGATTTCTATGAGAACACATGAAGGAAGAAACTCTGAAATTATTGATAATCTGGCTACAGAGCTACCCAGGAGCTGTTCACTTTTTAGTAAAACATGGCTATTTATTTTATGATCATTATAAAACATTTAAAATACATCCTTGATGTCATAGAGCCACTGTACTGTTTCACTCAATTAAATAAAAGAAATCACAGAACAGCCTCTGAAGGGATTCCTACAAGGCAAATATCTTTTTCCAAATGCTGTTTACCCAACTTGATACAATACTCCAGTTACTGAAAATAAAAGGCAGAGATTTTATATCCTCTTTCTTGGTGCGCACTTAGCAGTGCTCTGTAGATGCTTCAATTCCCCACGAGCTTTTCTTTGTTTTACCCCTTCTTTTCCACAGAAATTATACAAGGAGATCTTCCATAAAAGACTGAACAATGTAAATTATACGAACTATGCTTATTCTGCAGAAGTGCATATAATAATAACCTCTTTAATATGACCACATAAAATGGTCTTAGAAGAAGTGTACTACTATATTGATAAAGAGGTTTTTAAACTTTAAAACACTCTCGGCCAAAATATATTGATTTTGCAGTTTCAAGGGCTTATGGCAAACAAGCATAAAGAGCAAGGAAGGGGAGCTTTTCACAGGCCTCTTGATTTGAGCCCTGCATTTCCTATTTAAAATGCAACAGGTGATGAGGGGCTAAATCTCCTGGAATGCACTGAGAACTGGAGCACTGTTTCTAAACTTGACGGTCTGTTCAAACATTAAGAAGGGAATCTGACGTAACAGCGGAAAAGCATGTTTGTTCATACCATGCTAAGTAACCTTTCGTTGTCTGTCACAGGGATCCTGTATCGCAAGTCCTGTGCATCCTCTGCCGCCTGCCTCACAACCTCTGCCGGATACCAGACTTTCTGTACTCCAGGGAAAATAAACTCTGTTTGTATCAGCTGCTGCAATACTCCACTCTGCAATGGGCCCCGGCCAAAGAAGCGGAGAAATGTTGGCACCATGCCCAGAGCTGGCGTATTAACCACCATGCTGCTCCCTGGCTTGGCACTTCTCTCGCCAGTTCATTGCTAAACTCAGATGGAAGGTTTCTTTGTTGCCGTCATTTGTCCTGTGCCGTTTCCTTCAAAGACACAGCTGGTTTCCATTGTATTATTGCTGTTTGCATCCAAATGCTAAAAAGAAGAGTTTAATTTTGAAAAATCTCAGCAACTTTGTTTGCAACAGAAATAGATCTAGTTGTCTGACATTCTTGTATGCACTTTAAAAACAACAAGGAAAAAAAATCAACGGTCACCCATGTAGAACCCGCAGCCATTCATGTTACTGCAAATGAGTCTGTTGAAACAAGTATTTAAACATAGAGGCTACAACCTGCAGGCTGTAACCTCCCCCCCCCTTTTGTTTGCTTGTGTGTTTTTTTAAAATCCATTTTTAGCACGTTGTGTATCATCTGGTTTACATTTTATGAGGATTCACAGTTCGTGCTCACAAAGGCCATTCTGATTAGATGAACTGAGGTCTGCATTGGTCTCTAGTGGCATTGTTTTCACATTCAGCTCCAGTGATTCAAGACTCAATTTCTGCAAACTGCAGTCAGGCTTGATCTCGCTCTGAAAAGTACTTAAGAAAACCTTGTTAGTAGTCTTGGTGGAAGACTTGCGCCTGGATGACTTGAAGATCAATGGGTGCCGGGAACGGCCACTACTGGTTGCAGAATTCAAATTGGCTCTTAAAAACTTCTGTTTGTTGATATGTTCTAGCGTCAGGTGACAGCGGAGGACCTGAAGAAAGACATTTCGGAACTGCTGGGAGGAGATATTGTATAGCAGTGGGTTCACCACAGAGCTGAGATAGAAGAAAATGTCAGCTATAGGGAAAAGGATGATGTATGCTCTGAAGTAGGAGACCGTCCAGTCCTGCTTAGGTTTTGCAGCAGCCATGATCCTTCGAACTTGATTGGGCAGCCAGCATATCGCCAGAGTTGCAACGATCAATCCTGCAAGCAAGGAGGAGAGAAAAAGTGAAAGCATGTGAAAACAAATCATAAAATATTTAGTATGAGTTCTGCACTTACTGGCTAGGAAATGATACCAATTTTTCAGTGTTTTGCTTGACAGCTCCTTCTGCCAGTAGCAAAATTTGTTCTAAGAAGAAGAAGAAGAAGAAAGGGGAAGCAAGACACAGTTTCAAGGTCATGTAGTCTTGTGTTCTGATAAGTATTAGGTAATAGTTAAGATAACTTTTCTTTTTACTGCCTGACATTGGTTTAGTTTGAAGACATTATTTTAGTGATACTGCATTCTTCAAAATATTATCTATTGTTATTCCTCCTTTTTCTATTCCCTCCCTTTTCCATTATTAAAAATGCAGCCATATTAGAGCAGGCAATACCCAAAAGATGATCAGATTCTGTTTATATTTTACAAAACAAATATGCATACAATTGTATATTTGGCATTATTTTTGGTAACTTTGCTCTTACAGAAAATATTTTTACTTACAATATGAGCGGCTCTTTTTATGAGAAAGAGAATATAATGGGAATTTGGAAAAGAAATTCCAGTTGAATTAAAATGTAAAGCAAAATGGCATGTGGGAGTGTTCTTTAAATATATTGTGGAAATTGTTTCAGGTGAGTTCAAGGCTTTGATATCCAGACATTTTGTATTTATTTATGGATGTGTCTTTACTTCACTGGGTCCAGGTCAATTTTTATTTTTAAGACAGTGAACATTGAAATGTTTGTTCTTGACCCATGGAAAGCAGCAGGCTTTAAACTGTGGTTTACTTAGAGAGATAGCCATGGCAAGCAAAAGAGTCAAGAGGGGAATGGGGAGCTGTGAGAGCTGTTCTGTGTGCTTCACATACATTGTCCTCCTTTAATTATTGCAGCTACTCTGTATGACAACTTAGCATTACTATTGTGGCTGAAAAGAAGAGTAGGTTACCTACAAATTCCAGAACTTGGAAATCCACTTTTAAAAAAGTAATTAATTTCTGTTCTCCAAGGTCCTTTAAAAAAGTTACTAGCCTGTTTTCCCAAAAATAAGACCTAACCTGAAAATAAGCCCCAGTAGGATTTTTCAGGATGCTCGTAATATAAGCCCTACCCCCAAAATAAGCCCCAGTTAAGTGAAACCCCCCCCTCCACTATTGTGCAGCAGCCAGAAGAAGGAGGACATAGCTGTACTTGAATAAACATAGATGGTTGTACATGAAAAAAATAAAACATCCCCTGAAAATAAGCCCTAATGCATTTTTTGTTGGGTTTTTTTTGGAGCAAAAATTAATATAAGATCCTGCCTTATTTTTTGTGGAAACACAGTATTTATTTCCATATTAGGCAAAAATACTAGATACATCTTTAAAAATCAGGATGCTACAAACCAAGTGGCCTGTAGTACAAAATATACCTAACTTTTGATTCTGTATAGCCCCTTAAAGTAACTTAAAATATAGTTCCAGACACTCCATTATTACATGACAGTTGTAACTTTGTTATGACTTAATTACTGGAAAAGGGAGTTACATTCAAGTTACATGTTAGATGTAACTAGATGTATCCAAGCTTTGAGAAGTCCATAACAGGGAAATTATTTGAACTTTGATTTACATGTTAAACAGTAGCTAGACCATCTCTCGTCAATGATAGTGGGATGGAGATAATGCTGTGCCTTGTAGCTAAGGTACATTAGACGAACATTATTCATGTAGTTTAAAAAGAATTTCCACTCCCAAGGCTAGATGGTATAAAGAAGAATGTATTTGGTCAGTTTGTTTTTTAACTCAAAGATATACTTTAATTGAAGGTATGGGGAAAGGGTTTTCAATGTGTCCATTTAATTATGAAACTGCTGTATAAATGCAATTCCAAAGTTTTTCAAAATATTCACCTTACAGTGATGTCCCTTGTTTTTGAAGCAAATGTGCCTTATGTGTCAGAAAAAACTTTCTATAACAGAGGGTATTCCCCAATCATTGCAGTGTTTACCTTGATTTGTGCATTTTGCACCACAATGTTTACTAAATATTCTTTGTTTTGAAGCTAGATTGACAATTCAGCCTGCTTCCTTGGCAAAAAAAAAAGCTTTTTAAAAAATGCAAGCATTTCTGCTTATTTTTTGCTTTTGTCAAAATTAATCTGGACTCACATCTTATCGCAGTTATGTGGAAATGCTAAAATATAGATGGGGAAAGTATAATAAATCAAGAGATCCAGAATTCCATACGAGGAAAAGGAACATACTGTTTTCAGGAACGTGAGGAAATTATATAATGCTGATAAAAAAATAAATACGGATGTAAACAAAAAGAAAAGAATTTCAGCAGCACCTTGGAAGAGCCAGGACTGAACATAAACTGTGTCGTTTTGTGGACTTTTTGATTTGAATGTTTAATTTTAATTAATAAAAGAGATTAATTTTCATAATAATGAAATGTTTTCTGTATATTAAAACTAAAGGTATGCATTGTCATTCTACAAATGTGCAAAAAAAATCCAGGCTATTTGTGTGATTCCCAGGGTGGGGCAATGGGGGTCAAAAATATCTCTCTGGATCAGAGATACCCTCACCTTTGCTTCTTTTTCAAGTTGGTGTATATCCTTGTACTATTTCCCAAAGCGTGGCTTTGGTCAGAAGTAAAATCCTCCTGTTTGCCAAGTCCCTGTAGCCCTCATCCCAGGTCATAGCCAATTTGTGTTTTACCTATTTGTGGAAATGGGGGTTTTCACGGAGATACCAATACCATCATGACCCCAAACAAATATCAGGGTGGAGTGTCACCAAAAGGACACAAACAGGGTCAGACACCTATTGGTGTGCCTTTATTTGAGCATGGGCCAGGTCAGGGGTCACCTTGCATCCATTGTCTTTGTGTTAAAAAAAAACTTCTGACTACTCAAGAATACTCAAACTACATTAAATTCCCAAAACAGGGGAGGGGGGCCTCTTTGTTTCTAAGCAAAACGTTATGATTAAACCTGTACCCTAAGAAGCAAGGACTAACATCCTCACTCTTGTACTTTTAACTTCCACCTCAAATAAATGCAAGAGGTGAGCGCTCGTCTTTGATTCTTTAAAAGAAAAGATTTCCACTTACTTGGTCTGAAGCTCATTAAACACAATGAGACTTGTTCTCCCAGTTTGGATCAGTTGAACTGGGCACGTGACCAGATGCAAATGTATGGCAAATTCTGTTTGTAGATTTTGATGCAATCAATGTTTGTGTTTCCTTTCAGTTCTTTATACTACAGTACTAATGATGCACCAAGGATTGGGATAGTTAAGCAGATACGTGTTATAGTGCTTGAAGTAGAAGATCAGGTGAAAGGAGCATGTGTTTTGGTCCCCATCTTTTGAGTGAAGATGGTTTGGGTTGGTTTGCAATATGAAATATTACTCATAAATCTATACCCCATATGGTGTGGGAGATAACAGAAAATCTCCGGCCAATCCATAACAATAGGGCCACTGGAGCCACTGTTTAATACAGGTGTACCTCGGTTTACGTAATTTTCGGTTTATGTAACATCCCGGATGACAGATTAATTTCATAAACCAAGGTACTACTGTACTAAATTCTTTTCTTTGTATATATTCTGTGTCATTCGCTTGACAGCTGTCACGACCATTAGTTCTGGTGGTAGCAGTTTTTGTTTTTGGATTTGGGGCCTCTGTGCTACTTCCCTGTGCATTGGCAGGTTTGATTGGGTGCCTGAGAAGTTCCCTAGAAGAGTTACATCTTGTGGGCTTCTGTTTTCCCTTTTCAGTGCTGCTGCCTGTTGGATGCCTGAAAACTGAGTGAACTTTTACCGTTCAGTTTCTGTTGAAATTGTAACAACAGCAGAATGTTTTGACAACACCATCAAACCTTGTTCCTCAGTTAGGCAGCAGCAATGGAAAACTCCCAAGGGAAGAAGCCAGAAAGTTATTCTCTAGGGAGCCTTCCAGGAAAGAACATGTGCCTAGCAGTTTTCTGGAGGCACCGAGTGGCTGTTGTCTGGGGGTCAGTGGGAAGCCCTTCCTGAAATTTTGGGGTGAGTCTACCTTATGTAAAGGGCAGGAGAAGAGTTCATAACTTGAAAAATAAAGAACACACACTGCCTGGCCACCATTTTAAACTAAGGTGAAACCCTTCATTGTTGCAATCCAAGAAATTTCTCAGGAATTCTTAGTCCTATGCAAAAACAAGCAAGCAAAAAACTGGACACCTGCCTCTCCCACAGGGCAAAGGGCAGGGGATTCAGCATTGGGTTAAACTCTATGCCCAATTTTGAGTATACAAACCAGCACTAGAGAACAACCTGTGTTTTTTTTTAAAACATTCAGTTTGCCTCTGAGTCAACATGTGTCTCTCTCTCTCACACTGACTCCATACACGCACACATTCAGACAAATGGTCCCTTCACACTCTTTTCCAATTTTTCCTCCTCCATGTTGTTAAGCCAGATGACCATTCAGATTCTGCCTGGATATAAAAGGCCATTGCATGCCGTATGTTTTGTCAGTCAGTCTCTGTTGCTCACCACCTACATCTCTCGGGTTTTGATTTCTGCTCCTGATCGTTATAGTTCTGCTCTTCAAACACAGACATCCCATTAGTACTTGCTGTTTGATCATACCTCATGTAAAAGAACAGTGGAGTCAAGTCCTCACTCTTGTTTCTCTGTGCTGTCATAATCATTAATAGAACATAAGATCAATGAGGCGTGCCATAGAAGAGTCAATGAAGACACACAGACCTTACAAAGTTACTGAATCATTTTTTTTAGATTGTGGTGGATCCATTGAATTGATTTTTGAACACTCCACCTTTAGAGGGTCTCCTTTCAGACTAGTAGTCAGAAAGTCACCTTACTGTTCCATGGAAAGCATAGTCTTGCTACCCAATCTGGTCTACCCTCACACTGAACTATCCTTCCCAGGAGAGGCAACTCCCAGGAGCCAGTGCAACTGAGAGGGCATTCCCTTCTGCTTCATGCCCAAAGCACGTGTC